CACAAGCCAGCAAGCCACACCAAGCACCAATGTTGCCAAAACCAAACACGCTGGCCATTCCAAAGGCCGCATACAATAAGACTAGTTTCATCATAGTCCCTGTTGCCAAAACAACCAAAAAAGCATTGAAATCGAAATAAAACTAAATCGCTCACCACCAAAAACAGCAAAAAGTGAATGCATTTCATTCTTAGTTCCTCTTTACTATGTTCTACGTGAAATTATCGAGCTAAGTCAGTTTCAAAATTGCTTCAATAATATCCATCCCCCCTCATCAGCAGAATGACATGTCATCACTGTAACTCAATCACATTGCCACTGAACACTATTGGTTGACCTCCGCCTTTTTCCGCCGATCCGCACTACGTCGAGCGCATTCGATCAATTCGATTGAACCTCCGTCCGAGCCAAATCCGAGCTCGAATTTGCATCTCGACATTGAGTTAATTAGACTCACCTTATTCAAATCAATCCGCCCGATATTTTGTCTGGACACGCGAGACGAGTCTAATCTCGATTCATTAAATGGAAATTTTTGAGTTTAATTTGTCCATTAAGGCCTAGCCAATTGAGCCAAGTTTGCATCCAAATCCCTTTTTTGTGGCGCGTTTGAAATTTTCTCTAAATCATGGAAATTTAATCAAGTGGCCGATAATCGCCATTGGCAGTGATTCGTACCCTTTTATCTCCCGTTCCTCAACAGGCTACGAAGCCGATCTCCTCCTCTGATTCGAAAAGGTGGTGAGAATCTTTCCCCGCGGGCTCGGCGTCCTGCCGATTGGGGGAAAAAAGGCCGAACGCCCTGACTCTGCCCTACCCTGCTCCGCTCCCGATCTTCTCTGTTCGGCAGACGGCCCCGCGAGCCCCCCCACCAGCAGTTCCGGCCTCACTGACGCCGCCCCGAGCATCCCGTCCCGAAGCCCCCCCCCCCCCGTCCCACCAAGTATCCTTTGAGCATCGTGAAGCTCCAAGAGAGCCGACGCAAAGGTTCTGCTCCTCTTAGGCTTCTCATGCTTTGGTTCGCCAAAGGCCTCGGGCATCCCATCCAAAACACCTAGTCCAGCCCGGAGCGGATTACCGACGGCCACCCGATGCGGTCCATGATCTCCCTCCTGGACGGATGCCTGCATCCTGTTGCCACTCATATCCCCTCCAATCTTCTGTGATTTTCGCGCATGCTCAGGAAGGGCGAAGCCCCGTAGCAGAATCCTAGCTCCCGCCGCCCCTCCTCTCTCCCGTCCCTAATTTTCTCTCCGTCCCTCCGCAAGGCCCAGAAGGTAGCTCGAACTCTCTTGCTCCAGTCGGGCGGGGACCGAGCCTAGGTCTCCTCCCCGATATCTAGCACAATGAGCGTGAAGCGCCGCTTGAACTCGCGATCATCCGTCTGTCCGATGCCCGGGTTGTCTAGGTCCCAAGCAGCCTCTGCCGATCCCGATCTCGTGCTCCTTCAGTTGGAACTAGACATAGCAGGGAGACGAAGCCTTTCCCAGATCTCATTCCCATTCCGACGAACCAACTCCGTATGAAGCACATGCCCCTGGTCGCAGCTTCCCTTCTTTGATTGCCCACCTGGTTTCGCCATGACTATCTGCTACTTCGCTCTTGTTCGGATGGAACTTTGTAGGAACGCCACAGCCCCCCTCCCCGCCCCGAGATCGGGTAGCCAGCCCTACATTTCCTCTTCTCTCAACCGGCCAGGCTCTGCCCTAGCTAGCCAATGCCTCTGCACTAGCAGTAGCAGCAAACCTCTTTTCCCGCACTCTATGCTGCTTGCACCAACACCACCCACGACCGGAACAACTAACTCATAGTCCAATACCACCATTCCCCTTTTGGTGTCTTGCATGCGACATCATCAAGCTAGAAAGAAAAAGACGATCCTTCCAATTGATGGATACAGAAAAGGAGCAACACTGAATCATGCACATTTAAAATAGCTATTAACACTCTTGCGAAACATCCTTAATCGAGAGTTTTCTTAGACCAAGGTCTAAGATGTAATTAACTACGGGGGCTTGCGCCCGTAGGAAACCGATCCCCACAATCAAATAAACCCTATTCGAGCTGATGCATCGAATGGGGGAAATCTCGTGAATTTAGGGTTATAGATATTATTATCTATCGAGGTTGGCAGGTGAAAGCCGCTACCCTCCATGGCTAATCGTATCTATAACTCCATCTGCTCTTCCATTGGCCTGCTTGTGTCGATTGTAAAGGTCTACGACCATTTTGTCCTATGGGATAGTGTGATCGTACCCTTTGCATTCGAACCACACGAGCAGAATCCTTTCGGAGACCCACAACTATCTCTAGCAAGATGGGCTAACAAATTAGCATTCGAAATAGCAGAAATAGACACATCCACCAGAGGCACCACGACTCCTGCTTCCCCTAAATCAGCCAAGTTTTCATCACCATCATTGGCTAAAGAAACAGAATTATTATCTGACAACTCCACACCATCAGCATGAATATGACTATCTCTAAAATTAACACATCAATTAATATCATACAAGGCCACACGGTCAAGAACCACATAGGATTAGGGTTTGAGTGTTACATATGTAATATGTGTGTGAGTTTGCCTTAATTAGCCTAAATGCCTATAAAAAAACAAATACAAAACACCAACATAATTAGGCGTGCATGCATAATAATGACAAATTACAAATTTTTTTATAATCCTTAATCTTATAGATGTGAATAAAAAATAATACATCATTAAGACTTTTTTGAGATAGTTTTCTTACTATTTTATACAGAAGCTTTATAGTATGAAAATTTTCTAAAAACAACAAAATAATAATGCAAAAAACTATATGAGGCAAAGCCTAAATGGGGGAGATGAAGCTATCAATAAGTTCTATAAGTTACTTTTATCATTAGAAGTATATATGCGGCCAACAAAAATCAATTACAGTTGTCCAATCTACGGATCATATTGATTCATTTGTGATGTCATAATCTCTCTACTCCTTCATTTACTTAATTTGTGCATATATATATGAATCATGAATTACTTAAAAAAGTCGCTACTAAATTCAAATAAAATGATTTTTTTATATATCAACAAAATTTTTTATATTATCCAAATATAGTTGGCTCTGTGGGCTTCGATGGAGTAGTGTCGCATTATACATTCAGATGTTTCAGATTGACAGAGACAGGCTGTATGGGCTTTGGGTGTGGTCGCTCTCCAAAATGAAGGCCCATCACTATCTTTTAGAGTGGTAATAGTTCAATAGTCATTTTCAAACATTTATTTTCTTGGCCCACTAATTAATCCCACTGCTACCAACCCTCGTTGTCTTATTCATGACCTCTCTCTTGCCAATTTTGATCAAAATCGACGACAACTGAAGCAAAACAAAATTAAATCATTGAATAAAAAAAATAATTAAAATATCAAATTAAAAAAAATGGAATCAAATATATTTCAGTCTAAAGTCAAATGAAATTAATTCATTAGCAAATCACTTAAATCAAATGAAGTTCAAAGTGATCAATCAAGCCAACAAACAACCTAAACCCTAAATCAAATCAAAGGTAAAATGAACTAAATGGAAAAGAAATTAAAATTTGTAAGTGAATGAATTTTTCAAATTCATAGAAAATGATTTCGGTCTTTGATCAATGATTAAAGGAGGGGCATTGTTACAACTTCTTGGTCTAGGCTAAACCTTTGCAATATTTGATTTCATTGGGTTGACCCTAAATTTGTTAAACCTCGTGCAATATAGTTTTTGATTGCCCTAAATATAATCCTTATAGTTGATCATTCCTCAAATGAAGACAATAAGCACTATTTTTTAGTTGGCCATCAAAGTGTATTTGATGACTTTAATAAAAAGCATTCTCCATAAACACCCTTGAAATATAATAAATTATAAGGTATGTGCCATTAGAAAATATTAACTCATTGAACTCATATAAATATTCGACATGCAAAATTATATTTTGCTGAATCTATTATAGGTAATAGTTCAACAAATTGAAAGATTTAAGTGTTGAATATGTAATAATATAAGCTTTGGGTTTTGGCGGCACAGAGCTGATTCCCCACCATTATCTCATTAATATTTGTCTATGATATATTTCAAATGTTGGAAATCAAAAGCATGCCATTAAGGGGAAAAAACTACATCTTGGCTCTTGAGGATAACTCTTGAAGGAGAAAAAAAATTATTACATGCAGTGTCCGAACTCATCCGAAGATCAATGCACAATGCATTGGATGATGTGGCGCGTCCAGATTAACCTCCAAAAGCATTCGATCACTGCAGAGAATAATCTCTCATTGCAACAAGCTTCATATTAAGTTACTTGTGAGCTAAGTATGTAATTAAGTTATTAATTAATTCAATTAATTCTCTTAAGAATAAGTGAACTACAATTAAGGAATTTTGTCGGGAATTGTAATGACTCACCTCAAAATTCTTCATATTTATCATCTAAGATCAAAGTTTGACGCCCCCTTAATGAAAAATTCGAATAATAAAGGTAGCTACTTTTTTTTTTCTTAGCATATTGCTTAACTCTTTCCTTATTGCTTCATAACAGAACTTCTTACTAATTAAAATTTATTTACATAACTTCTTTTTGTAAATTAAATTAATTAAATTTATTACCGAATTCTTAGAATTTTATTAATTATATTAATTGCCATTCACATGAAAACTCAATTCCCAAATGAAAACTGAAACGAAAAGTAAAAAAAAAAAAAAAATCATTTCTATTTTAGTTAGGCGAAATGACGACGAAATAAAACTAACCATTCATGTGCTGCTTCCACTACAAACAAAGCAATTTCCACTATCGCCTTCACTTTATTCCTTCAAATTAATTTTCTATTTATATATATATTTTTGTACTCCATTCAAAATATTTAAAAACTTTTCTGATAATTATATATATTTATATATAATTTAATTCCAATAATTAAAAAATTTCCTTTGAGAAATATAGCTTTAGTTCTTCCCTAAAAATTATTTTAAAAAAAATACTACAAATTTACTTTCATTGCATTGCACCTCAAATTTACAGCTCCTGTTAAAAATTAAAAAAAAAAAGAAAAGAAAATTAGGAAAACCATAGTTTCATTCGGGTTGCCTCTCTTGCCTCTCTGTCCTCTGGTCCTCATCTGTGGTCCCATTCGCGGTCCTCTCATTCCCACGATTCTCCAACTTACTGTCACCGTTACCGTTACCCTCGCCGTCGCCGTCGCCGTCGCCGTTCCTATCTCCGAACGATGACGCCCGGCTAGACATCGGCGTCGCGAGAAATGTCGGCTTCTTCTCTCCGGCCATGATCACCACAATCCTCTCCTCATAAACCGCCGCAGTCAGCTTCCCGTCACCCTCGCCGGACTTCTCAGCATCCTCTCCGGCCGCCGGAGCGCTACCATCGCCGTCGCCCTCGAGGTACCCGGAAAGCTTCCAGTAGGAGCAGGCGAGGATGAGGAGAGCGAAGGCAATCAAACCGAGCATCGCCGCAAGCCCGCCGAAGAGATATGGCACCGGGGAGTGCCAAGCCGAATGGGTGGCGACGGTGGCGCTCGCCGCCGGCGACTTTGCCGCATTTTCTTGGGAGAAAGTTGCTCCAGGTCTCATGACTAGCAATGACATGTAAAGGAAGAAGGTGTTTGGATAGAGGAAGGTGTGGTAATGGTATTTATAGGCTGGGAATGAAGGCGGGGAAAATTTTTTATGTATGTGAAGATTTTTGCTAATAAATTATTTATGAAGTTTGCTAATTTGTAATTGTGGTATAATATATGTTATGGGGTGGGTCCCATAAAATTACAACAGAAATAGCTCTAGTGCAATATTATCGTACAGCCGTTCGATTGAGATTAGACGGCTTAGATTCATGCATGTTTAGGTATGCAAAAACAATAGTATTTTTATTCGTTTGGATTTTGGTTGAATTTGGCAGTCATATATTATGGTTATGAAATAGTCGACAATAACAAAAAAAATAATGGCTAAGAAAATCCTAATTAGCACAATAAAAATAAAAAAATTTAATTAAAAAATATTATCCTTTAAGGGAAAAGTTTCATTTTGTCTTTCTTAATAACTATTTTATTTTTATATAAAAGATAAAAGTTTAGATTTATTATAACATAGATAGGTGAGATCTAAAGTTACAAAATAGACAATAAATTTTAATGCTTTTATTAATTAGATTAGCTTATAGTTACACAAATAAAATTAAATTTATAAGAATAAATTTAGTATGGACAAAAAATATTATCGGATGACCTTGATGATAATATCCAAGATTTTTATCAGTTAAGTTTTCTTTTGAGATGACTTTCTTACTACTTCTTAATATAGATTTTAAAAATAATAATTAAAAAATTTTGTATAAGAAAACTAATTTAAGAAATAGTAAGAAAGTCATCTCAAACAAAGTCTAAGCTAGCTAGGGTCAATTTTGAATTGCTTGTTGGTATCTAATTAATAATTATTAGAACAAGCACCAATGTTCAATTGGATATTTAAAAATAAATATTGTATTAAGTTATGAAGCTCGATTAATATATTGTGAAGAAACTTTTTATACATACTCAATATTCATATTAATGAGAATTTTCAAGTTGTTGCGCTGCTCTCCGAGAAAACCCTGGGTTTTCTCTTGGGTGGCGTCCTAGCGTTTTCCCGCCGTCGGCGGGGGATTTTCCGCTCTGCCTCTTCAGGAAAGTTGTTCTCTACTCTCTTCTATTGTTTCTCTATGGTTTTTCTTTCCTTCTATCTGGCATTTTCGATATGCCTTCGTCTATTTTGAGAGATCCTGACTTTTTTGGGGGGATTTCTCACCCTAAGTCTTTTCTTCAAGCTCTTGATGGTTCTTCTTCTTCTTTTCCTAATCTGAAACACTCTACCTTTCGTGGTCTTCCTGCTTTGTGGGTTTCTGATGAAGAAATTAGGGCTTTAGCGGAACCATTTAGGTTTTCTTTGGTTGGCTTCTTTCCGGGCAAGCGCCCTCCTCTCGATGCGATACGTAAATTTTTTTTTTAACCTAAAGTTGAATGGCGAGGTTTCAGTTACTGTTCTGGATTCTACCCATATTTTGATAAAATTGGAGAAGGATTTAGATTACTGTAGGATTTTTTGCCACCGGTCTTATTTGGTTTTCAATTGTTATATGAAACTTACGAAATGGTCGCCGACTTTGGATATCGGCGTTGAGTCGCCAATCATCCCGATATGGATCTCTTTTCCTCACCTCCGTCCGCATTTTTTTGCTCCGAGGATCCTTTTTGGTCTGGCTGAGTTATTTGGCAAACCGCTGAAAATTGACGAAGCGACGTCGGTTGGCTCTCGTCCTTCGAATGCCCGTGTTTTAGTTGAAATTGATATTACTAAAAATTATCCTAAGCAAGTTTGGTTAGGATCTGATTCATTAGGGTATGTTCAAGAGGTAGTCTTTGACGATTTTCCTCATTTTTGTGGTATTTGTAAAAAATTAGGACACATTTCTGGTAAGTGTATTTCGGGTCCTGTTCCTGTTCCTCCTTCTGTTGCGGATGTTCCTGTGGAAATTAATGCTCCTTTAGGTGGTGAGAATGGCATTAAGGGTGCAAATGAAGTTGTGGTAAATGTTCCTGAATATGTGGGGATGAATTTGCCATCTGTTGATAATGTTGGTATGTCGCAGGAGAATTTGGTCGTTTTGTTGGATGTAAATAACTGTAACGATGTGCCGCTGGTTGCAGATAAATCCCTATTATCTCTGAATGCCATTCCTTTCGTTCTCGTGTTGCTGGATGGGGGCGTTAGGCAGGGTGTGATTTTGGAGTCTTCAGGTATTGCTTTGGTGCCGGAAGTTGATAATGCAACTGTGAATGTTGAGACTTCTGATAGTCTACATATTCATGATACGAATATTATTGGGAATGATAAGGTGATAGATAATGCGGAAGGTGGTGCTGGGGATGACATGATTGATGGAGTGGAACCGAGTGGGATTGAGGCTGCGTGCCCGTCGCTGAATGTAGAGGAAGGGATTCAGATTGTTAACAGTGTAATTGAGATTCCTGTAAAAGAGGTTGATACACTTTGGATGGCTGATTGGGTGGGGAAGTCTTCGGGCAAAGAAATTAGGAATCAGAACAGTTGGTTGATTGGTTCGTCGGAGGAGGAAGTTGATTCTGAATGTTCTGAGTCGGATAATGACTTTTCCCTTGTTCGTTCCTCAGTTGCCTCTCGGGGAAAGTTTTGGGGGCGTGGTCGTCGTAAAAGATGATTTGGAATGATTTTGTATTGTTCGTATTGCTGTTTATCTTTTGGAAGGCTAGGATTTGTTACGATTTGGTGCTACGCGTGGATGAGGGCGATGATGTGGTCGGGGCTCATGTCCCGGTCGTTAAGCTAGTGGCAACCGTTTATTTCTGGATGGTCCGTGCGGGACGGCTTGGACGTTTGAAGCCTGGACTGTTTATTGAGCACACTCTTTGCTTGCAATTCGCATTGTTGTTTGGTCGCTTTTATTTTGCTAGGTGTGTGTTGTATTTTGTAATTTCTTGTTGGCATTTTAATGAATTTTTTAAAAAAAAAAAAAATATTAATGAGAATTTTAATGATTTCACATATAGTTTTTTTTTCTCAATATTGATAGAGGTTTTATTGAAGAGAGCGAAAAAATACAATGACTGACAAACTCTGAATTATCCTTCTTGAAATTTTTTAAAACCATCATAATGACACATATAGCGGCAAAGACATGAGGTAGATAAAAATTATGCGAACTTTTTTTTATAAATTTTAGTTGTATTTTATTTATTTTTTATTTTTTCTTTGTTATTTTAGTTAGATATTATTTGATTCTAGATACATCAAAGACTCTCTAAGGCAGATGTTTGATAATATAAATTGATAATATTTAACTATATATATTCTCTTTATTGATGATATCCTATTTTTTATTATTTTTATTACTCTATTATGTTAAATATATATAGGCAATACTATATCAATATATTATTCAACTCAATAATAGTCATTATAATTTTAGCTTTTAACATAACACAACTTTTCTTTTATATAATTATTATTTAAGACGTATGTCAAATGTATATATGCTCATTTTTTATATGAGAAAATTGTTGATAGGTATTGTTCATTAAAAAATTGGTTTTCCATTTGTGCAAGAATCGGAATGAATTGTAGAGGAAGCAATTGGGACCCAAATATTAATTACTTGGAATGAATAATTTCATTTGTGTAAGAATGTTTATGTTGGTGATGGAATCATGAAAGTGTGTTGGAAAGTAATTGGAGGATGTTGGCATGGACTTATCCAAATGAGGGCCCCTTTTATGCAAATGGAAGGGAAAGGTGTTATGTGTGAAGAAAGATATATGATCTGCATAATTGCATATGCAGGAAAAGCCATATGGAGTTATGTAGCTTGATGAGGTTAGAGAGAGAGAGAGACGTTATGATGGATGTTAGAGAGAGAAAGAGACGTTATGATGGATGTTAGAGAGAGAGAGAGAGAGAGAGAGAGAGAGAGAGAGAGAGCTTTTCCCTCTTCTTTCTCTTTGGCATTTGGATTATGAAATGTTTAAAGCTATCCTATCTAGAAGGAATGTAAGTAGTTAAATACAATAGCTTATGGGATTAGGATAAGCTTAGAAGTAAATCAGATTTTAAATTAAGTTTAATATGATTGTAAGCGACTTGAAAAATCAGATGATAATTTATTATTGAAATTCTTTTTAAGAAAAAGTTGTGGTTTTTAATTAAAGCTATGGATTCAGTTTGGATCCTATGTAGTTGATCTAATTAAAGTTTAATTTTATATAATTAATAATGAAAAATTAGAGTCAAGATAAATTTAAACTATTGAATTTAATTTAAAATAAGTATAATATATAGACAATTAATTAAATAATTATGGGATTAATATAATGTTTCAAAGCATTAAAATGCTCATAATAATAGCATAAAATCTTTATTAATAATGAGGAGGTAATCAAATTAACTACTCAATAATTGTATTAGCATTATATCATTACATCAATCGATCCCTAATATAATTCGTTATATCATAATTAGGGATGAGCCATAACCCCACTTAATTAATTAACCTATGCTGGCAGGGTGATAATTCAAAGGGTTAAATATATAAATAATAAAAAAAATTAATCACATTTGCAATAAGCTCTATCCCAACAGGAGGAATAAAGCCACCCCGTGCTTCTTTTCATGCAAAGCCAATGGAAATAGGAATCCTAAAACACTATTTGATCGATATCTAAATGGAACAAAAGAAGATCTTAGATATTCTGAATAGTCTTAGATGGGAGCATCCAAAGCCTTCTATTAATGGATAGTTTCTTATATTAAGATAATAATTTCTGTAAAATAAAATTTTTAAATGATTTCCTATACACGTAAAACTTAGGCTCTGTTTGATACGGCTTTCTTACAGCTTCTTAAAGCAGCTTTTTAGCATTAAATTTTTAATTTTTGTACTAGAAAATTGTTTTAAGAAGTAATAAAAAAGTCGTCTCAAACGAAACCTTAAGCTATATAATAACACTTTCTTTAAAATATGTAATTTTTTGACATAATATACTTATAGTTAAACACGATGATTT